TGCGGCGCCTCCTCCTCACAGCCCCCAGAGCAGCGGCGCCTCTCCCTCACAACCCCCCAGAGCAGCGGCGCCTCTCCCTCACAACCCCCCAGAGCAAAGGCGCCTCCTCCTCACAGCCCCCCAGAGCAGCGGCGCCTCCTCCTCAGAACCCCCAAGAGCAGCGGCGCCTCCTCCTCAGAACCCCCAAGAGCAGCGGCGCCTCTCCCTCACATCCCCCCAGAGCATCGGCGCCTCCTCCTCACAGCCCCCCAGAGCAGCGGCGCCTCTCCCTCACAACCCCCCAGAGCAGCGGCGCCTCTCCCTCACAGCCCCCCACAGCTGCGGCGCCTCCTCCTCACAGTCCCCCGGAGCGTTCTGTCTGCGGCCGTGTGCACTAGACATCAGCCAATCAATGGCACGCCATGCTCATCTGATGGTGGGGGACGCTGCTGCTTGCTGCTGTCGCCCGGGAGGATTTGTGCTCCTCTGGACGACTCACTTTCTGCGTCCACGCTTCTCCTGTAGCTAAGTCTCCTCTTCGCACACCCGTCCTCCCCTCCCTTTCTCCTTCGCTATCCTCATCTCTCTCTTTCACTGCTGCAAAATTATGACCCTTGGCGCATGCTGGTGGTGGTCCATGGTGCTATGGCAGCAGAGCTCATGTAGAGTGCAGTGTAGTGGGAGTGGTGGGATATAGTAGTGGAGAGGGAGTGCATTCATGCCATGCGTGCGTCCCCCAGTCCCCCCTCGCTGGCTCAGCTCGCTGCTCTAGTGCTGTGGGCCACTATCGCCATGCGCCTTCCCCGTTCCCCCTCCCACCTCTCGATTCTCGCTGTAATACACATGCGCATCCACCTTATGCTTTCTGCTTCATTTATTCTCAGTTCGTTGCCTGCCCTCTGTTCGAGTCCAAACTCCTCCAATTTCCTTCTCCCCCATGCGTCCTCTGGTCTCAGGGCGAATGGAGTGCCGGCGGTAGAGCAGCAGAGCAGTGGATGCAGCAGCACGGCTCCATTAAACCTCAGTCAACATCAGTCAATGTCAGTCAGCCTCAGTCAACGCCAGTCACCACCAGTCCTCAGCACCCACACCCGTGACCTCATTGCCATAGTGGTATGGTGTGCATCCCTTTACCTGCACTGCACTCTTCTACGCTCCCATCACCCCCATCACCCCCATCACCCCCATCACCCCCATCACCGCCATCACCCCCATCACCCCCATCACCCCCATCACCCCCATCACGCCCATCACCCCCATCACCCCCATCACGCCCATCACCCCCATCACCCCCATCACCCCCATCACGCCCATCACCCCCATCACGCCCATTTTCTGGTTGTTGCCTTTGCCCTTCCCCTCGTCCCTTTTTCCTTGTCCTTATGTCTTCTCCTTGATTCCTCGCCTTCACTACAGGGGGAGTGCACCCGCTCTGTTTACGACAGATAGCCCATTCTGTTTGCACAAGGTAGCCCGTTCCCCCTCCCTCCCACCACTCGATTCTCTGTTGGCATACGCGTGGTTATACGCCCTCCACCCTCCACCCTCCACCCTCCACCCTCCACCCTCCACCCTCCACCCACCCTTCACCCTCCACCCTCCACCCACCCTTCACACTCCACCCTCCACCCTCCACCCTCCTCCCTCCACCCTCCACCCTCCACCCTCCACCCTCAACCCTCCACCCTCCACCCTCCACCCTTCTCCCTCCTCCCTCCTCCCTCCTCCCTCCACCCTCTCCACCCTCCACCCTCCACCCTCCACCCTCCACCTCTCTACCCTCCATCCTCCCTCCACCCTCCACCCTCCTCCCTTCTCCCTCCTCCCTCCACCCTCCACCCTCCACCCTCCACCCTCCACTCTCCACCCTCCACACCCTCCACCCTCCACCCTCCACCCCTCCACCCTCCACCCTCCACCCTCCACCCTCCACCTTCCACCCTCCACCCTCCACCCTCCACCCTCCACCCTCCACCCTCCACCCTCCTCCCTCCACCCTCCACCCTCCACCCTCCTCGCTCCACCCTCCTCTCTCCACCCTCCTCCCTCCACCCTCCACCCTCCTCCCTCCACCCTCCTCCCTCCACCCTCCTCCCTCCACCCTCCACCCTCCACCCTCCACCCTCCTCCCTCCACCCTCCACCCTCCTCCCTCCACCCTCCACCCTCCACCCTCCTCCCTCCACCCTCCACCTTCCACCCTCCACCCTCCACCCTCCACCCTCCTCCCTCCACCCTCCACCCACCCTTCACCCTCCACCCTCCACCCACCCTTCACACTCCACCCTCCACCCTCCACCCTCCTCCCTCCACACTCCACCCTCCACCCTCAACCCTCCACCCTCCACCCTTCACCCTTCTCCCTCCTCCCTCCTCCCTCCTCCCTCCACCCTCCACCCTCCACCCACCCTTCACCCTCCACCCTCCACCCTCCTCCCTCCAACCTCCACCCTCCACCCTCCTCCCTCCACCCTCCACCTTCCACCCTCCACCCTCCACCCTCCACCCTCCTCCCTCCTCCCTCCACCCACCACCCTCCACCCTCCACCCTCCACCCTCCACCCTCCTCCCTCCTCCCTCCTCCCTCCTCCCTCCTCCATCCTCCCTCCTCCCTCCACCCTCCACCCTCCACCCTCCACCCTCCACCCTCCTCCCTCCACCCTCCACCTTCCACCCTCCACCCTCCACCCTCCACCCTCCTCCCTCCTCCCTCCACCCACCACCCTCCACCCTCCTCCCTCCACCCTCCTCCCACCTCCCTCCTCCCTCCTCACTCCACCGTCCACCCTCCACCCTCCACCCACCCTTCATCCTCCACCCTCCACCCTCTCCACCCTCCACCCTCCACCCTCCACCCTCCACCCTCCACCCCCCACCCTCCACCCTCCTCCCTCCCCCCTCCACCCTCCACCCTCCTCCCTCCGCCCTCCTCCCTCCACCCTCCACCCTCCACCCTCCACCCTCCTCCCTCATCCCTCCTCCCTCCTCCCTCCTCCCTCCACCCTCCACCCTCCACCCTCCACCCTCCACCCTCCACCCTCATCCCTCCACCCTCCACCCTCCACCCTCCTCCCTCCACCCTCCACCCTCCTCCCTCCACCCTCCACCTTCCACCCTCCACCCTCCACCCTCCTCCCTCCACCCACCACCCTCCACCCTCCACCCTCCTCCCTCCTCCCTCCTCCCTCCTCCCTCCACCCTCCTGACCCTCCACCCTCCACCCTTCCCCCTCCACCCTCCACCCTCCTCCCTCCACCCTCCACCCTCCACCCTCCATCCTCCTCCCTCCACCCTCCACCCTCCACCCTCCACCCCTCCTCCCTCCACCCTCCACCCTCCACCGCTCCACCCTCCACCCTCCACACTTCTCCCTCCTCCCTCCACCCTCCTCCCTCCTCCCTCCACCCTCCACCCTCCACCCTCAACCCTCCACCCTCCACCCTTCTCCCTCCTCCCTCCTCCCTCCTCCCTCCACCCTCCACCCTCCACCCTCCACCCCTCCACCCTCCCTCCTCCCTCCACCCTCCACCCTCCTCCCTTCTCCCTCCTCCCTCCACCCTCCACCCTCCACCCTCCACCCTCCACACCCTCCACCCTCCACCCTCCACCCCTCCACCCTCCACCCTCCACCCTCCACCCTCCGCCCTCCACACCCTCCACCCTCCACCCTCCACCATCTTCCCTTTACCCTCCACCCTCCGCCCCTCCACCCTCCACCCTCCACCCTCCACCCAACCTTCACCCTCCATCCTCCACCCTCCACCCTCCACCCTCCTCCCTCACCCCTCCTCCCTCCTCCCTCCACCCTCCACCCTCCACCCTCCACCCTCCTCCCTCCACCCTTCAAGTCTCCTCTTCGCACACCCGTCCTCCCCTCCCTTTCTCCTTCGCTATCCTCATCTCTCTCTTTCACTGCTGCAAAAGTGTGACCCTTGGCGTATGGTGGTGGTGGTCCGTGGTGCTATGGCAGCAGAGCTCATGTAGAGTGCAGTGTAGTGGGAGTGGTGGGATAGAGTAGTGGAGAGGGAGTGCATTCATGCCATGCGTGCGTCCCCCAGTCTCTCCTCGCTGGCTCAGCTCGCTGCTCTAGTGCCGTGGGCCACTGTCGCCATGCGCCTGCCTCGTTTCCCCCTCGTCCCCCCTCCCACCACTCAAGTGTCGAGTTTCTCACTCTTGCTCTCCACTGCTTCTGCTCTATTCTCCACTCTAGCTCGAATGCCTTCTCCTGCTCGGCAGAGCTGCAGCAGCACGGCAGTCAGCATCAGTCAATGCCATTCAACACCAGTCAACACCAGCACTTCTACTTCTCCATACCCGCACTTCATCTGCTCTCTCCGTCCCTTCTGTCTGTTGCTGCTGGTTGCTCTATTTGCTATGTGGTTTGGTTGCTATTCATTCTGCACTCACAGATATTTTCCCTCAGTGAGCTGTTCAGTAAGAGTGAAGATTCAGGGAAGTGTTTTTCCTCCCGCCCTCTTGTCATTTTTTCTGGTTGATTTGTCATTTTCATGTTGTTGCCTTTGCCCTTCCCTTCTTGCCTCATCCCTTTTTCCTTTCCCTCATTTCCTCGTCCCTTTTTCATTGTCAGTATTGATGCGTCTCCTCGCCTCTGCAAGACCTCGCTTAGCAACCAACGCATTTCGTATAACATTGTTTCTCCTCCATTTTGCTAGCAAGGAAAAGGGAGCACCGCCAACACCAGCAGCCATGCCAGCAACACCGACAACAAGCAGCAACAGCTGCAGCAGCAATGGCAGCATCAGTGGCGACGGCAAGCCATGGAGTGTTCGGAGCATAGCAGATTGAGCATGGAAGCAAAGTCAACGCCAGCCACTTCCGCTACCGGCTAAGTACCTCTCTCTCAAACTCTCTCCGCTTCTCCAACCGCCCCTGCCCTGCCTTTTACTCCCCTTCTACCACTCCCTCCCCACGGTTTTTCTCCCATCCCTGCACTTTGTCGTTGCTTGCTCTTTCGATTCCTCCATTCTGTTAGAATCACTCTGGGAACGTTCCGTGTGCGCTATGGAGGATTTATATGCTTCCTCTCCGCCTCGCTTCCAATCCGCCTCACTCCTGTCCGCCTCCTTCCCATCCGCCTCATTCCCATCCGCCTCATTCCCATCCGCCTCATTCCCAACCGCCTCGCGTTGCATCCGCCTCATTCCCATCCGCCTCCTTCCCATCCGCCTCATTCCCATCCGCCTCATTCCCATCCGTCTCGCTTCCCATCCGCCTCACTCCCATCCGCCTCATTCCCAACCGCCTCGTGTCGCATCCGCCTCATTCCCATCCGCCTCGCTTCCCGTCCGCCTCGTTCCCATCCGCTCCATTCTCATCCGCCTCATTCCCATCCGCCTCTCTTCCCATCCGCCTCCTTCCATCCGCCTCCTTCCCATCCGCCTCTCTTCCCATCCGCCTCCTTCCATCCGCCTCCTTCCCATCTGCCTCCTTCCCATCCGCCTCCTTCCCATCCGCCTCATTCCCATCGGTCTCGCTTCCCATCCGCCTCATTCCCACCCGCCTCATTCCCATCCCCCTCATTCCCATTCGCCTCATTCCCATCCGCCTTATGGTACGATATGCATCGTTCGACTGCACTACAACCTCTCCCTCCTTCGCTCCTCATCACCCGCTCTCTCATTCGCTTCTTCATTTCACTGCGCCCGCTCTCCCCTCAGCCTTCAACGTTCTGTCTATTGCTGTTGGCTTGCACTGACCACTTTGGTTGCTCCTCGTGCTTGCACTCACTGTGTGTGGCTCCGTGTGGTACAGGGCGTGGTGGCTCTACATGCTGCACAAGCCATGCTGTTTCACGGGGAAGCAGCAGATGGAGGACGCACTTTGAGGGCGGCAGTGGGATGATGCAGAGCAGCGGCGCCTCGCCCTCACAACCCCACAGAGCAGCGGTGCCTTGCCCTCACAACCCCCCAGAGCAAAGGCGCCTCTCCCTCACAGCCCCCCAGAGCAGCGGCGCCTCCTCCTCACAACCCCCCAGAGCAGCGGCGCCTCTCCCTCACAACCCCCCAGAGCAGCGGCGCCTCTCCCTCACAACCCCCCAGAGCAGCGGCGCCCCTCCCTCACAACAGGGGGAGTGCACCCGCTCTCTCCTTCACTCCACCATGTTATTCCACCCGTTCTCTCTTGAACTCCTCCATTTCACTGCACCCTCTGTTTGTTGCTGCTGGCCGCTCTTTCTGTTGCACGGCCTGGTTGCTCTTCGTGCTGCACGTGCCTTGCTGCTCCAAGGGGAGGCAGCAGAGGGAGGAGGCGCATGGAGGGATGACTAACGGCCGACACTCACTGCGTGCTGCCCGCCCTGCTGACAGCTGCTCACCACTGCATGCGCTCTTGTGCCGAGGGGGATTTGAGACTGGAGGGTCAGGAAATTGTGCTCCTTCCTTCCCTCCTGTACGTGTCGTGTACATGTTGATCCCACTTGTGTCCTCGTCCGTTTTGCCTCGTCCCGTGTCCTTCTTTCATTCCATTCTTCCTTGTTCTTGGTTTATCTACGCTCCTGCAAGGCCTTACCCAACAACTCGTTGTCACTTTAGGATTTTCGCCTCCTTTTTGCTTGCAGTGAAACACTCGAGGGAGCACCGCCATCGGTGTGTGGCGACTTACAGAGTGGGGCGTTCTGTGTGCGACGTGTGCACAAGATAGCAGCCAACAATCGCACACCACGTTCATCTGATGGTGTGTGGATGATGGAGACGAGCCGCATGGGACGCTGCTGCTTGCTGCTGTCGCCCGGAAGGATTTTTGCTGCCTTGGGCGACTCACTCTCTGCGCCCACGCTTCTCCTGTAGCTAAGTCTCCTCTCCACTTCCCCACTCCTCTCGTCCCTTTCTCCTCCGCTATCCCCATCTGTCTCTTTCACTGCTGCCAAAATCACGAGCCTTGGCGCATGGTGGCATTTTGGAGCTGTTGACACCATGGCCGAGCTCTTATAACACTGCCATAGTAGGGGCAGTGCTAGGATCTCGGGACATTTAGAACACTGCAGTAATAGTGGCAGTGGCTGGAATATGGGACTTTCTAACACTGCAGTAGTAATTGCAGTGCCAGGAACTTGGGACATTAGAACACTGTCGTAGTAGGGGCAGTGCTAGGAACTCGGGACATTTAGAACACTGCAGTAGTTGTGGCAGTGGCTGGAACTTGGGACATTCTAACACTGCAGTAGTAATGGCAGTGCCAGGAACTTGGGACATTAGAACACTGCAGTAGTGACAGTGGCAGATTCTTTCGACATCAGAACACCGCAGTAGTAGTGGCAGTGGCAGCATGGTAGGAACTTGGGATATTGTAACACTGCAATAGTAGTGGCAGTGCCAGGGACTTGGGATGCGATGAAGGGATGCGATGAAGGGATGCGACGCATGGTGCAAACAGGACATAAGCAACGAGCATGCATGGGTAAGGAGAAGAGAGGCATTGCAGGGTACTTACCTGTGGGTGGGTTGGTGGAGAGCCACTAGTTGACACACTTGCAATACACCCTAATGCTCACTCAACCGCCCACTCTGAACACGCCCAGTGCCACTCCATACGCCCAGTGGTCGACATTCACAGCCAACGGCCCGAACGTTACGGTACTAGCCCATGACAAAACCAAGATATTTGAGTTTACCAGACAAAACACGCTGAGCTACCCATAATTTTGGCAACTGTAGTCGCTTTTGTCACCTTTGTTCTGCATTCAGTCCCATTCTGCCCCTAGCGGGCACATGCTCGAGAGAGGAGCAGGGGGAAAGATGGGGAAGGGGACTGAAATAGGCATCAACTCAACCGTTGCCTTCTGAAGCAAAGCCAGGGTCTCAAGTAGACCAAGTGTTTTGCTGTCGATGTAAAAAGGGCCTGTCTGATTGGTTTACGAATCTGGGTAAAGGTAAAGGAGGGGGGAAATCCCCCTTTGAGTTACCCCCGGCTGTCGATCGTAATCCGCCTACTGTCAAATGTTGATATTTGTGATAGGCTGTAGTGAGGTGCTCCTTAGTGAGTACAACTCAGTTAGGGTTTGCTATTTGTATCACCCACATTCCTAATCTCATCATTCCGTTGCATTCCATTTCTGAGATGGTATCACGAGTAGGTTTAAAATCCTTGCCTAGCCTAGCCTAGCTCGCGCCCTCGAGCCCTCCGCGCCCTAGCGCGCCTCCGCGCATTACGCGCCCTCCGTCACGCGCCCTAGCGCCCTCCGCGCCCTAGCGCCCTCCGTCACGCGCCCTAGCGCCATCCGCGCCTTATGCGCCCTCCGTCACGCGCCCTAGCGCGCCTCCGCGCCCTAGCGCCCTCCGCGCCTTACGCGCCCTCCGTCACGCGCCCTAGCGCCCTCCGAGCCCTCCGTAACGCGCCCTCCGCGCCTCCGCGCCTAGCCCTCCCCTACGCGCCCTCCACGCCCTCCGTATCGCGCCTCCGCCCCAGCCCGTCGCGTAGCCCATGCGTCCTACCCTAGCCCGTCGCGTAGCCCGTGCGCCCTGCCCCAGCCCGTCGCGTGGCCCGTGGCCCCTGCCCCAGCCCGTCGCGTCGCCCGTGCGCCCTGCCCTAACCCGTCGCGTAGCCCGTGCGCCCTGCCCTAGCCTGTCGCGTAGCCCGTGCGCCCTGCCCCTAGCCCGTGCGCCCTGCCCTAGCCTGTCGCGTAGCCCATGCGCCCTGCCCCTAGCCCGCGCGTCGCCCTGCCCCTAGGCTGCGCGCCCCCGCAGGTATCGTGCCCCGCAGGTAGCGCGCCCCGCGGGTAGCGCGCCCCGCAGTCAGCGCGCCGCGCGGGTAGCGCGCCCCGCGGGTAGCGCGCCCCGAGGGTAGTGCGCCCCGCAGGCAGCACACCCTGCAGGCAGCGCGCCCCGCAGCGCTTTAGAGCCAAAAAAATAAATTAATTAACTAAACCCTAAAAAAAAAAAAAAAAAAAAAAAAGGGTTCAGGGTGTTGGGCTGCAACTGTCGCCCGCGTTCCTGCTTGCCGGACGACCTGCACAGTTCCCTACATACCGCAGCCGTCAGAACTGCAGCCCCTACTGTCGCACGTACTTTCCAATGCCAATGGCTCTACTAGCGGCAGCCGATAGCCGCACTTACAGTCTCTAGCTCCAGCCGTTCTAGCTCCAGCCACTCCTAGCTCCGGCCGTGTCTAGCTCCACCCGTTCTCGCTCCAGCCGTTCTGGCTCTAGCCGTTTCAGCTCCAGCCGTTCTAGCTCCAATCGTTTTCACTCCTCGCTCCTAGCTCAGATTGCTCCGTGCTACAGTCGTTCCTCGCCTAGTTTCACATGGCGCTCTTAGTTGTTCTCGTTGTTTCACTGCAGCCGTCCCTAGCTCCTGACGCTCCTAGCCTCTATCATGGCGTCCACTAGGGTTCTCCAGAAGCAGGGACAGCAGTAGCGGCAGTTTCAGCAGTGGCACTCGCAGCAGCAGTGGCGCCCTCAGCAGCAGCTCCGCCCTCAGCAGCTGTTGCGCCCTCAGCAGCCGTGGGGGCCAGGTGGTTCGGGTAGCGTTGGCTGCAGCAGCGGCCCAGCCAGCTTGGGGGCTCGTCGCGGTGGCCGCGACGTCGGCCCCTGTCAGTACCGGATCCTGTCCGGCCCTGGTGGTGGCACTACCTGCTGGCGTCCTGACCACTCTGCACAGCGCTGCTACAGTCACCTCGACGACCTCTACCGTGAGCGTTTTGGGCCTGAGTCGCCTCCCCCGATCTGGCCCGGTCTGTTTCGTAGTGGTTACCCTGTGTTTGATATGTCTATGGATGCTGTTTATTCTGTCACGTACGGATCTCTTGGCTTACGTGTACCTAGCTTAGGACCTTTACCTGTTGTTAGTGTCGGTACTTGTGCTTTTAGTGTAGGTGCGTGTGTAGTCACTAGCCCAGTCGTGACGACTGTTGTTGCGTCGCTCTCCTTCACGCTGGACTCCGGCGCGTCTCAGTGCTTCTTCCGCGACCACACCACTGTCACACCTCTTTCGGCTCCAGTCCCAGTTTCCCTGGCTGATCCTACTTCAGGACCAGCAGTTGCTCGCAGCTCGACCACTCTCCCATGCCCAGCTGTCCCCTCTGGTTTCCTCACTGGTCTCTACATCCCCTCGTTCTCTCGGAACTTGGTGGGTGTTGGATACCTTCAGGACCGGGGGATCACAGTCACTTTTCCTGCGCACGGGAGGACTGCGATCTGTACGGACTCTTCCACCGAGGCAGTTCTTGCCACGTTCACCAGAGAGCCCCACTCAGGTCTCTTCGTCCTGCACACTCCGCCCCCGCAGGTAGCTGCGTCTGGTCAGGTTGCTTCGCCCCCCCCCGTAGCAGAGTCCGGTCAGGTTACTGCGTCCCCACCGGTTGTTGTGTCCGGTCAGGTTGCTGTGTCCGGTCTAGTTGCTGCGTCTTGCTCGTGTCGGTCTTTCACCCACCGGACCGTCTTGTGGCACCACCGTCTTGGCCACTCGTCGATCCCCCGCCTCCGCACTATGGCTAGTCACCGTCTTGTCTCAGGTCTCCCTCGCGTCTTCCCGTCGCTCCCTCCCTCGCCTGCGCCGCCGTGCACTCCTTGCGTCGCCGGCCGTCTTCGTGCCACTCCGCACTCCTCCTCCCTTCGTCCGGCCACTGCTCCCTTCCAGACACTCCACTTGGATGTCTGGGGCCCTGCACCTACGCAGGGACCTGAGAGGGAGCGCTACTTTCTGGTGGTCGTCGACGACTTCTCCAGGTACACCACGGTGTTTCCTCTCGCGAAGAAGTCCGAGGTGACTTCTATGCTGATCTGGTGGCTTCTAGCCACTGAGGGCACTCGTGGCCGTCGTGTCTCCTATCTCCACTCTGACCGTGGGGGTGAGTTTCGCTCAGGCATTTTTACCGGATTCTGCGGCGAGCAGGGCATCGTACAGTCATGGACGCTGTCGGAGTTCCCACAGCAGAATGGGGTTGTTGAGCGCCGCATTGGACTGGTCATGGACATCGCCCGCACGTCCATGATTCATGCCCGTGTGTCCCATTTTCTGTGGCCCTACGCGGTTCGCTACGCCGCTCACCAGCTGAACCTCCAGCCGCGCGTCTCGCGGCCAGAGGCTTCACCGACCAGTCTTTGGACCGGGTCCCCTGGTGTTGGGTCAGCTTTTCGTGTCCGGGGCTGCCTTGCGCTTGTCCGCGACACCTCTACGGACAAGCTCTCGGCTCGCGCCGTCCCCTGTGTCTTCCTTGGTTTCCCGGTAGCCTCGGCCGACTGGTCCTTTTACCACCCGCCCCTCCACCAGTTCCTAGACTCCCGTGACGTCCGGTTTGACAAGTCAGTGTCCTAGTACACCCGGTACCCCTG